CTCTGAAAGCTGCCCTTGTTTTAGTTCTTCCTAAAACCTTGTAAGACAGAATGAAAAGTTGGCAAATTGTGTGCAGAGATGTTATTTATCAATGAGTTAACTTTCTGCACTCTCATCATCTTTCCTTTCGAGAGGATGCTGCAAGCCCAGGTAGGCACTATCACTCAGTGGAGACTCCGGGAGACAACTCCTGTTTTACTTTCCGTTCATATCAGATGATTCATCAGAAAATTTCCTTTCTTTTACGGATGAAAATATGACACAAAGCAAGGCAAAGTGTACAAAGACTTTCCCTTCTTCTGTTTGGTTTGTCTGTCGTGAGGTTTTGGTTTCTAGGCAATGGAATCCCTTTTCCCCTTTCTTTTTTCTTTTCCTTTCAGACGTGTATGTTCAGGGCATCACGGTAACTGAGCTAAATGCCAAGTGAGCTCCCCGCTGTGTGTGGCCATCCACACGCCACCCATCCGCTGGCCACAGAGATTCAAGCTATTTAATTTCGGAAATGACATTTCTCCACAGTTCTTCCAAGATAGCAATTTATGTCAATCATCCCGGAACCCCTTCTGCCAATGACAATGTCAATGGACTTGAATTTCCTATTGACTTTGGGGTGAGAGGGCTATCTCTTTGACTCTTCTGAGTGGTACCTTTCACTATCATAAAGTTTACTTCCCAAGGAATTTTCCTTGTGATCTCAAACCTAATCTGACCTTCCTTTTATAATCGCGCAGAAAAGGAGAAATTTTTGCACCGTGTTTTATTGCCAGGAAGCCTGGGTCTAGTTGACTGACTTCATAATGGACTCCTTCTATGATTTTATTCTAGATAAACTCTGTTATCACTCAGGGAGGGGATAAAAGTGACCAGAGCACCCAGATTTAGGGACATCAGTGCACTGTTGCCTCCTTAAATATAAAAATAAACCTGCAAATTGTTTTGCACGTGTAAATTCTAAAAAATGCTACATTCGTGCAAATAAAAAGATGTGTCTCTTCTTCAATATTATTGTGAAGCTTTGAGAAAACATGTATGCGTCTTGGAGATGGGGAAGGATTAGATTTAAATTCATGTCTAACCTCCTGAATGCATAGCTGGGATTCTTCTGTGTGTCACTCAGACAAATCAAACATCTGCATCTGAAGGACACAGGTAAGGTTAACAATAAGTATATCATTAAGAAAAAACAATTTTGACAATATTTACATTCCTCCACTTCATTTAAACATGTTGGTGATCTGAATATTTTTATTTTACAAATAGTTTGCAAATTCTATTTTGAAGTGTTAAGAAAAGTGATTGTAATCCAGAAGGAGACAGTGATCTGGGATAAAGGTAAATGAGATGGGGATCAGAAGGGAACTGCTTCTGCCTGTGCCTCAACTTTCCCATTCCCCAGTGAGAGGAAGGACTCCTGGGCAAGCTTCCTGCAGCCATCCCTCCCAGGGAGCTGCTCCTGGGAGCAACACGAGGCCTTCTCGCTACCCACTTTCCAGCTCCTACCCTGTGAAAGAAACAGGTGCTGACTGGGCATGGTGGCTCACATCTGTAATCCCAGCACTTTGGGAGCCCAAGGTGGGTGGATCGCCTGAGGTCAGGAGTTCGAGACCAGCCTTACCAAAGTGGTGAAACCCCCTGGCTACTAAAAATACAAAAATTAGCTGATTGTGGTGGTGGGCACCTGTAATCCCAGCTACTTGGGAGGCTGAGGCAGGAGAATTGTTGAACCTGAGAGGCGGAAGTTACAGTGAGCCGAGATTGCGCTATTATACCCCAATTTGGGCGACAAGAGCAAAACTCCATCTCAAAATAAAAGAAAAAGAAAAAAGAAACAGCTGCTACTGGTCTAAAATAGGACTTACTGCCCTGAGGGAAATTTCCATTTTTCCTCTGCCTGGGCCAGAACTGAGCAAGTAATTGTCCTGGCCATGGTGCCCTCACTCAGGGCTCTCCAGGGTGGCAGCAGAGGCCCCTGATCTCTTCTGCATGCCAGGCTGCCTTTCTCTCTCAGTAAAGACTGCGTTTCCTTTCTCTTCCCTCTCCCTCTCCCTGTAGCCGCTTCTCAGCTTGTAGGTCTTTGGATCTAGGAGATGAGAGTTTCAAAACTGTTAGCATCTAACTTTGATGAGCACTTTTGTGGCTGGCAAAAATAAATCATAAGTTGGTATTTCAACTCGTATTGTCCTCCATCCTAGAGGAGATAATAGAGAGAAGGGATGAATGGTAAGATCTTGTTAACAAAGTCCCATTGCTCCCAACGTGAGCAGTGTGGTGTGGGAAGGAGCAGTTACGCCTGTGTGCTGTGCACGAGTGAACTGAAAGCACATGTCAACTCATCGGCAACGTTAGGCGGTGTCCATACTCTTCAAATCAACCCTTTTCCTCTAGCTTTTAAAGAATCTTCTGAGGACCAAATCTTCATAAATCCCATTTTTGTAAGGCTGCTCTCAATTATCTCCTTCAGGAGCCTGTGCTCTGTGTCCCCTTGTGGGCTAATTGAATGTGTTGTTAATGCAAAGCTGATTGCTCAACGTTTGATTTTCCACTTAAAAGTTCGGTTTCGGGGATGGGTGTAGGATGGCAAATAAAAACCCTATTTTCCCCTCCTGCTTTGGTATCTATTAAGAAATCAGACATAGGGGACAGAAATGTAAACTAAAATATCAGCTGTGTTACTATTAAGCTGATTAGAGAATATGGTTTAGATATGCACCCCCTTGCCAATTTGGCCATTTTAGGATCAGGGCCCAATATGGGCAAAGCCAGCTTCTGTCAGCTTGCAAAGAGCCAAGAGCAGGTCAAAATGCACCCGGCAGGGGACAGGTGGATCCAACAGAGACTAAGCTGTGCCCAGCCCACCAGGTTCCACTCATTCTCTGCAATTCACGGCTCACAGAGGTCTCTCCTACCCAACCAGGAAGGAGGGAAGAAGGGGTAGAGAGAAGCTGGAAATGTTTTTCCTGGGTTTTCCATGCTCAAAAAGTGACACAAAAATTTTCTTCTTTCTATGGTAACACTAGGATTGCAGAAGATTCCTGTTTACAATTGCGTGAACATTTGTATCCCCAAAATTCCTCTGTTGAAATCCTCATCTCCAAGGTGATGGTATGAGGAGATGAGATCCCTGGGAGGTGACTGGGTCTTGAGGGAGAAACCCTCACGAATGGGATTAGTGTCCTTATAAAAGAAACGTCAACGAGCTCCCTCTCCCCTTCCACCATGTGAGCACGTGGCCTGAAAGCCCCATCTAGGAGCCAGCAAGCGGTCCTCACCAGACACCGAATCTGCCAGCGCCTTGATCTTGGACTTCCAGGTTCCAGAACCGTGAGAAATCAATTCCTGTTGTTTATAAGCCACTTGTTTCTGGCATTTCGTTATAGCAGCCTGGTCAGCGTAAGACACTCTTGGCACATGAAGCCACCTCCGACATCATTAGAAAATGAAATAAAAATTAGACAGCACTTGTAACATGCTTATCACAGCATCTGCCACACAATAAGCTCTCAATCCATGTTATTTTTATTGTTGGTATCATTATTGTGCCATATGAAGGTCGATAGCTCCCTCAGATTCCAAAGTATTCTTTTCTAAATAAAACAAAATAATCTACTTGGTATTTTGAAAATGATACTACGTTTATTAGAAATGCCTTCTATTCCTTTAACAATAGCTGGTGAAGACAGGTTGATGAGAGGTGCAGGAGCGGCTTCCTGGAGATTGAAACTTTTTCACCTTCTGCCCTTGTCTTCTCCTCCTTGATTCATTGTTTTCATGGGCCATAAGCACAGAGAATTTTTGTTTCATTTAGCCGTGTAACATCCCATATAGACCAACCGCAAAGACTCTTCTCCTGGCCAATGTACCTGGAAGTGTCCATTTTAGGGGGTGGAGTGCAAGGTATCCACACTGCAGCCTGCCCCACTTCACCAGTGCCTGTGCACGCAGAGCTGTCTTGGAGTGACTGTGAGGGAAGCCTGCAGCTTGTCACGGCAACCGAGCAAAGGTGTGATGTGGCCGTGTGGACACGAAGGAATGGCTCTGCCCAGCTGCATTCCAGATGAACACTCCAGGATATCCATGGAATGATGAGTAATTTTACTCCTACCAACAATGTCCCAAATACTGCACTGCTATGTACGTCGTGTGCCAGTAAGCCTTTAGAAATCACAGCTACTGTAGAAGCTAAGTACCATTACCCTTATTGTATAGACGCACAAACTGACTCGCCTAGAAAGGAAGTGATTACGTAGAGGTGCAAGAGTAGTAGGTAACAGAGCTGGTTCAAGCTCATGCCTTTGTAATACAAACTCAGGCTTCATTTTTTTCTTTTGCACCAAGACTGCCCTCTTTGAGAAACAACAATATTTGGTGTGTTTTTTCAGGGAGTGGGGTTCTGGGGTTTCATTTATCATGAAATATGCATTATGCCTCTGCAATAAACTGGGTGCCAGGAAAAAGCCATCTCCCCTGACAACTACAATACAGTGGAGGACACTAAGGACTGAGAAAGGGTAAAGATGGGGCATGCCATGGGCAAGCACTTACAGGGGGTTGGGCTGAGTGAAGGGCTACTGGCGTTCAGGAAAGCAACCTTGGCTCAGGTAAGAGTGGGCAGCTTTCAGCCAGAAGCAGGGTCTACAAAGTGAGGGGCGGTTGGCACCGGAACAGAGGTTACTAAGGCAGAGGGACCAGGGAGGCAGAGGGCACAAGATCATCTGAGCCATGTGGAGACCTGGAAGCAGCTCAGGAGAATCAGAGCCAGGGAGAATAGCAGGAATTAGTGCAGCAGTGAGATCCGAGGCGGGGGAGGTAAGCAAGGGTCCAATTTCACTAGCCAAGAAATTGTTGGTGTTAGCCTACAGGCACTGCTTAAGTTTACATAGGTTGCAATCATTTTGACCTAGAAGCTGGGAGCCAAGAGAACGGGTAGGACCTGTGCTGGCAGAGACTGTAGTGGGAGATAATGGTGATGATGGTCTCTACTGTTGTCTAAATCTTTTCAGGATGAAGACGTATGTCCAGCTAGAATCATTTGTCCTTAAACCAGGTTAAGTTGCCGTCCATGCCAAATGAGTATTCAGGACAGAGGTCATGTACAGGTACAGTCAAAACTTAAAATCTTGTAAATTATATATAAAATTATTTGAAGCTATTTTACACCTGATAGCACCAAACAATAAATTCTTTGGATAGCTTCACAGCCACATTGCCTATGGAGCAAATTGGGGCAATACACGGAAGAGGTATTTTTTATTTTATTTTTTGAAAAGTGGTCCCTTCATCCCTCTGGAATAACTTTTATTTATTTAGGAACTCTTCATTCTGGCTTTCTGAATCTGATCTGGAAGATGGGCATTGTTTGGACATCACAGTTCTTTAGTAAAGGTGGTTTGGCCAAGCAAAATCCCAGGCAAATTCTGTTTTGAATTCCCTTGGCCTCCACACATGCCATCAATTTCAGCTACCTTCTGTCTGGATGTCCCCTGCCAACAATTTGCTGCTTGATCATTGTTTCCAATTGCTAAAGTGACCCTTGACTATGGCTGCTAGAGAATTCCCTGGTTCCCTCAAATCAATGGAGAAATCCTAGAACAGTGGGATTTTGTTGTTGTTTTTTTACTAGCCATGTGCTCCGTGCAAATTCTTTGATAGCTGCATGTTCTCGTGTCCTAAATAGGTACGCTAGTACTCAGAATGCTGGTGATGTGACCTCAAAAAAGGAGGTGCGGCTGTGAAGACAAGATGCTGTCTATAAAGGCCTGCGTGACCTGCCAAAGGCTATCTTTTATAGCACCAGAGAGGAGCAGTTTTTTAGCTTTTGTTCACTGCCCAAATGTTTTGGGAGAAATCTGTGCTAGAGTGGCCAAAAAGGAATAGAACCTACTCGCGTGTACATTCGTTAGGTTATATTATCTGAAAAACTAAGCATATTATGTTATAGAATTATCACCTCTAGTGAAGCCCAGCAAAGAAACTTCGACTCCTACACCAAGAATGGAAAAGAACGACTCTGAGAAGGGACAGCTTCATCTACTTTTGCACTCAGGCTGGAGTGACTCTGCCCTGTTTTCTCTCCTCAGTTCTTCAGGCTCCTTAGCAGCCGTGGAGGAACGCCTCAAGTGGTCTCACAAGTCCTGGACTCCGCTTCAGTGAAAAATTGGAGAGAAGCTGCTTTTGGGTTGTTGTTTGAACTTTCCACGAAGAGAGTTCGGATACAGCATTTATGTGTGTTAAAAATGTTTGCAGCATTTGCCCACTTACGAATGTATGCATTCTCTCTACATCTTTCTACATCTATTGCACGTCTTCCCCATAGCAGGAACCATTAAGACTCGGGGGGGGGCGGGGCGGGGCACGAAGTACGTAAGTCTTGGCTCTCTGCTCTGGGAGCACTTGCCAGAACAGAGGGACAGACGGGCAAGCGTACAATTGAAATACAAGGAGATCATGTTTGTAATCGAGATATTAAGTGACTGCTATGAGAGGACTGCTCAATGAACCACCAGGGAGCTCCCTGGCGGTCAGGTCACGCCTCAGTGGAATGTGATATTTGAGCTTCAGGTACTCTACGGTTTACATACAGCTCGACCCCACCAAATCTCATGTTGATATGTGGTCCCCGTGTGCTGGTGGGGAAGGTGGGGCCCGGTGGGAAATGTTTGGGTCATTGACGGGGAGTTCCTTTATGAATGGCCTGGAATGGGTCTCACGGTAGTGAGTTCTGCTCTCCTTAGACTGGATTACTTCTCGTGAGAATAAGCTGATTCCTCTGAGAGGGGGCTGTTATAAAGCGAGGACCCCCTCGGATTTTGCCCTTTCTTTGTTGACCTTCGTCCATGCTACGACCCAGCACAAAAGCCCCCACTGGAAGCTGAGCAGATGCTGGCACCATGTCCCATGAACTTCCCGCCCCGTGGAACCGTGAGCTACATACAGAAAGCTCTCTTCTTTAGGAATTACTCAGTCTCGGCCGGGCGCGGTGGCTCACGCCTGTAATCCCAGCACTCTGGGAGGCCAAGACGGGTGGATCACGAGGTCAGGAGATCGAGACCATCCTGGCTAACACGGTGAAACCCCGTTTATACTAAAAAAATACAAAAAATTAGCTGGGCGAGGTGGCGGCGCCTGTAGTCCCAGCTACACGGGAGGCTGAGGCAGGAGAATGGCGGGAACCCGGGAGGCGGAGCTTGCAGTGAGCCAAGATCCGGCCACTGCACTCCAGCCTGGGCGACAGAGCGAGACTCCGTCTCAAATAAATAAATAAATAAATTCCTCAGTCTCAAGTATTCTGTTGTAAAAGAGGGACTTATAAGAGGAACAAAGACAGGGTCAAATGTGTTTCACACCCTTATAATCACTTCAGTTGAATAAAAAAAAGTATTGGGCGTGTGTATTCATTAGGTTACATTATCTGAAAATTAAGCATGTTGTTCATTTCAGTTGGCAAATGCACGGATATGTAACTGCGGTCAATACAAAATACACTGCAGAGCTGTAAGCTACAAATGGAAGCTATCACAGCAAAAGTGAACTTTCTGCTTATTTAACTTTTATATTTAGTACAAAACTATATAGCTTAAATATTTAAAAGGCTTATTTAATTTTTCAAGCCAAAGCTGGTTACGTCTTAAGAGCATGAATCATTCTCAAACATGAATTACAAATAAACAGAGATGCCTGTTTATTCAAAATTCAAATTGGGGAGATCAAAAAATAGACATAAAAACAGATTCTACAAAATTTCATTTAGTTACCACTGAATGTCAAGAATGTACTATTAAAATGAAAATTCTCGTGGTTTGTCACAGGATTAGATGATACCAGATTAACATGAAAAAATCATGAAATATTGAAGGGCCCTAGGAAGTACTAAGAAGTTAAATTCAGTAGACTGTTAATGCTAAATATGTTTGACTAAGTAGAAATTCCCTGAAAACTTATTACTTCAATACTTTATAAATAGTAACTGAATAAACAAAAACATTTACTTCCTCCCTATCTGTTTCCCCTGCATCCTCCCCCTCTCAGGTGAAGGCCGCCCAAACCCTCCAGTCATTCAGGTCAAAATTGCACACTCAATTTGGATTTCCTTCCTACTTCTACTTCCCACAGCCGTCGGTAAATCCTATAAGCTTTATCTTCAAAATATGATGGGAGCCTGGGCAACATAGTGAGACCCCTATCTTTACAAAAAAATTGCCAAAAATATTGGGCAGGTGTAGGAGGGCACTCCTGTCACCCCAGCTACTTGGGAGGCTGAGGTACAAGCATCTCTTGAGCCCAGGATTTTGAGGCTGCAGTGAGTTGGGTTCACTCTACTGCTCTCCAGCCTGGGCAACATAGTGAGACCCTGTCTCTTAAATATATATATGACCAGAGTCTGGCCTGTCCACCACCCATTAGGCTGTCCAATCATGCCATTCCTCCATGCAATTCTCCAATGGCTCCCTCCCACAAGTCCTTATGATGGCTTGCAAGTCCTTAACATTCAGGTCTCTTGTCATCTTTCCACTCAAGCCTCCTAATACTGCTTTCCTCACTCACACTGTTCTACGCATACTGGTACTTTTGCTGTTTTCTTTTGTTTTAGTTTGGTTTGTTTGTTTGTTTTTTGTCTCCTTAGGCCCATTCAGCCCTGGTACAGGGGCAAATTCTGTCTGATGTGTTCTCTCAAGGACCTGCTAACTCCTTTACCACCTTCAAGTCTTTGTTCAAATGCCACCTTTGCAATAAAGGTTACCCCAACCATCCTACTTAAAATTGCAGTCTTCCCACTTCCCAAGCTCCCCACCTGATGATCTTTATTCAATATATTTTCCAAAGCAGGAATTACCTTTCAGTTCTGTGTAATTTGCACACCTATCATTTCATTGTCTGTCTCCCCCTGTTAGAATGTCATCCTCACAAAGGTTAGGTGTGGGTCTCTTTTCTTCCCCGACCTGTCTCTAAAACAACTCTTGGCACGTAGGAAGTAGTCGTTTAATATTTGTTTAGCCTAAATAGCATTGTCATCTTGCTCTCGCTGCTCTTTTTCCCTCCAATTTCCCCTTGAATCCACTCCAATGATGGCATCACTCTGGGTTCTCCTAGCTTACTGGTCACATCTTCTAGGACTTCCTTGCCAATTCTTTTTCCTCTTTCAGCGTCGAAATGGACCATTGGAATGCCGCAGGAACCACTCCTTGATGCCTTCCAATTCTATCCTCCTCCCTTCCTAGGTGACAGAATCCAGTCCCAAGGCTAAAATCACCAACACTATGCTGTTAGCATCAGATTTACACCTCTAGCTAAGAGCTAAGAACTTTCTTCTCACAGCCAGAATTGTACTGAGCTCCCCACTTGACATTTCCACTTGGATATCATCAACTAGGCATCTCAATCTTACTATGCCCCAAGCTGAACCCCTACCTCTGTCTCAGGATATGCTCCTTTTGTATTCTCCTTCATCTTAGTCAATGACGACTTGTTGCGCAGGCCAAAAACCTGGAAATATCCCTAATTATTCACTTTTTTTTCATGCCTCAAGTTGTATCATCCAAATATGCCCAGCCCCTGACCATCCCCAGCCATGCCACTTTGAATCAAGCCTTCATCTTCTCTAGCCTGAATTATTGCCTTCTAATTGGTTCCACACGATTCTCCAGCTTGCACCAAGGTGGCCCTCGTGAAACATAAGTTGGCTCATCTGGTCTCTCTGCTCAAAACCGTCCAATGTCTTCCAGTCTCAATACACGTTACATCCAAAATGTCTACCATGATCCATGAGGCCCACATGATTCAGCTCCCCCCATGTCTTCAGTTTTCCCAGACTGTCACTCCTCTCCTCTTTCCAGCGACACTGAGCTCCTGGTTGTTCCACAGGCATGGGGTGGGCGGCGGGGGCCACATTCCCACCTCAGGGCTTTTGCACTGTGTTCTCTCCACCTGGAATGCTTTTCCCCCAGAGATCCCCAGCTCTTATTCTCTCACTTCCTTCAAGTCTCTGCTCAAATATTACCTTACCCAAGAAGCCCTCTCTGGCAACTCAGAATGAAAACAACACCCTCGGCACTCTCCACCCATTCACCATTCTGTCGTTTGTATCATTCCTACGCCACTTGCGTTTGTTACATTTATTTATTTGTTTGTTTACATCTGTCAGTAGACAATATGACGTCCTTGAAAGCTAAGGATTTTTCTATTGTATTAACAGAAAAGTGCCTCGTTTAAGCAAAATAGTTTTTAATAAATGAACAATATCTTTCTGAAAACACTTTTACTAAAAGAAAATGTATTCCCTTCCTGGGGTAATAAATACTTCATCAAAATTAGCACATAATTCCTACCTCATATCATACACAGAAATTCACTCAAAATGTATCAAAGGCCTAAATGAAAGAGTTAAAACTATAAAGCTGTTAGACGAAAACGCAGGAGTAAATCTTTGTGACCTCTGATTGGGCAATGATTTCTAAGCTATGGTACCAAAAGCACAAACAATACATATGGTACCAAAAGCACAAAGAAAAATAGATCAAATTTACCTGATAAAAATTTAAAACTTTTATGTTTCAAAGGACATCTTCAAGAAAGCAAAGAGACAACAGAATAAATGGTAGAAAATATTTGCCTATGATGTATCTGATAAGAGACATATCTAGACTATAGAGAGAGAGTGAAGAATTCTTACAGTTCTACAACAAAAAGGTTAGTAATCCAATTTAAAAATAAGCTACGGATCTGAATAAACATTTCTCCAAAGAAGATATATAAGTGACCAATAAGCCCATGAAAAAATGCTCAACATCGTTAGTTATTAGGGAAATGCAAGTCAAAACCACAATGAGACACCATTTCACAACCACTAGAAATAGCTGTAATAAAAAAGACAGATAATAACAAATGCTGGAGGATGTGGAGAAATTGAAGCCTTCATAAACTGCTGGTGGAGATGTAAAATGATGCAGCAACTTTGGAAAATAATTTGGCAGTTCCTCAACACATTAAACAAGTAACCCAGCAATTCTACTCCTAGGTATCTATTCCAAAGAAATGAAAACATATGTCCACACAAACACTTGTTCAGGAACGTGCATAGCCACTTTATTCTTAATAGCAAAAAAGTTTAAACAATGCAAACGCTCATCAATGGATGAATGGATAAATAAAATCCACTGAACGGATTGTTATTCAGCAATAAAAAAGAAGTATTGACACATGCTACAATGTGAATAAATCTTTAAAACATTATGCTGTGTGAAAGAAACTAATTTCAAAAGACCAGATATTATATGGTTCCATTTTTATGAAATGTCCATAATAGGTATATCTATAGAGACAGAAAATGGATTAGTGATTGCCTAGGGCTGTTGAGGCAGGGGGATTGGAGATGACAGCTGAAGAGAACAGAGTTTGCTTTGGGAGCTATGAAAATGTTCTGAAATTGTAGTGATGGTTGCATAACTCTGTGAATGTACTAAATATCTGTTATTTATGAGTTTTCTTGCTTATTGCATTTCTCAGAATGTGAGCCTCATGGGAGTAAACACTTTATCCTCTTCACTGCTGCTCCCGTAGAGCCTAGAATAGTGCCTGGCACATAGTAGACACTCAATAAACACGTATTAAATACATCCTAGGGGACAGCATTGTTATAAAGACTAGCAATCGGTGATGTCAGCAGAGCATATAACAGGCACCTGGAATATGAACCCACAGTAAAGGCAAAATTTGAATATTTCTTGAACAGAATAAATATCTTAGATTGAATCATTTTATTCACTGGCAAAAACAGTTTTTGTAAAGAGATGTCTTTGATAACTGAGAGTTTGCTGCATTATTAAATGTTTTAATGAAGTGTCCTCTCATAGAAATTGTTTTATCTAAACACACTGGAGCCTCATCTTAATTTTAACTTTGCTAATTAAGTTATACAAAAAGATTTGCAGAAGGGATTTCAACAAAGACCAACAGCAGTTCCTGCTTGGTACACAATATACATTTGATTCTTCTTACACTTCTTAATGACTTTGTAGATAACCAGTCAAATCATGCTGAT